GACATGGCTGCCGGATCAGCCAGCACCAACCCTGCACCAACTCCTCTTACTGAACTCACACCATGAAAATTGATTATTTTCTTTGATTTGCCAGCAGCCAGCGGTGCTCTTAAAATGTCAGGAGAGCTGCAGAGGTCCCCTCGCAGAAGCTGCAGGACCAGTGCAGCTCTCACTGCCCGCTGCCGGTTTTCCCACCGAACTCAGGTTACGGGTGAAGGAGACGAGGGACGGGGTGGAGGAAGCCCTGTGGGGAGATCCCGGGAGCCCCTGGTTGCGGCTGAGTGACAGACGTTAATAAAAATACTCTTGCTGGCCCGGGCTGCAGGAGGCTGGAGCACAGAACTAACGTGTGCAGGCTATGGCTGATGGAACAAGGCCTGTCTTAGCAGCCCAGAAGCCAGCATCTAATTTAGTTTTCATAGGTAGGATAAAGAAAAGTATTAAATAAACACAGTGCAAACTTTTTCCCCTTTGTTGTCTGAAAACCAATAGCTTGCTTTCCATTTTTTAGGCAGGCAGCTGTGTGAGCTAGATTGTCTGAGACATGGTTCTACTTTCCAGCAACTGAGCTGCAGCAGAACCACCATTAAAATACATCCCACTGCACTGCACCCCTGAGCTGGGACCGAGGGACAGGTCACGGGGAACACATGTGGCCAGGTTGAGCTCTCGGGTCTTGTAAGCAAAGGGCACAGTGTCCTGCCGTGAGACCGGGGATAAGTGCTGCTAGATGCTCTATTAGAGAAACAACAACCATGGAAAAACCCAACCAACAGCCAAACAAACAGAGGGCCCAGGTGGAGGCTGTGCTGCACAGAAAGAGGCACGTGAGCCACAGTGGGAAGAAACTGAAGGCAGGTTGGAGACCCGGGGAAGGCGCTGCCGTTTGCATGACCTGGATGTCTGACAAATTCCCAGGAATCTGGATTCCATGAGGAACACCATGAACTGGTTCCTCTTTGACCTTACACCATCCCGCAGCTGTCTGCTGCAGAGCACTCCATCTCAGACACATTTCCCAGCAGGGAGCAGACACAAGGAGCCGTGTTTCTGGCCGCTGAGCAGGGCAGGGATTCTCCAACCCGCACGGCCAGTGAAGGAAGCAAAGGCTGAGCGTGAGCAAGAGGTTGAGGCCACATAGTGACCCCCCAGGGAAGGGATGGGAAGAGAAGGGAGAGCCTGAGGGTCCCGGGCATTCCAGATTCTTACATTCACTGCATGAGCTAAAGACCGAGACATCTGTATATTGTAAGGCAATAATCTGACTTTCCTCCCCGGTTCCAAAGACTCCATTTCCCGGTATTTTGCATGTGACTGGGAAGGTCCCTGCAGCACCAGCGCTCTCCTCAGGGTCTGCTGCATCTTTCAGTACCAACACAGTATGAGAAGCCGTGCAGGCTTGGGCAGGCTAGTGAAAGGAAAGCTATGCAAAACATGCCCCAGCAAAATGCAAAGGAATCCCAGATTGCCTTCTTTGGAGTGATTTTGGATGGTTACATAAATGCAGACAAGGTTTTCTGTAAGAGTTTGCGGGGAAGGCACCGGCTGCTCCAGCTCCCCTAGCCGCCAAGGGCAGCCCTGGCCTTCCCTCCACCTCCTTCTCTCGGGGCTGCCGACTCCTCGCAGGGGCTGGGGGCTTCCCCCTTCCCCCCTTTCCCCTGCTTTACCTGCCCCTCTCCTACAAGGGTGCAGCCGGGATCCTCCGGCAACTCGCAGCTCTGAGCCAGAGATGCCTCCGGCTCCAGACCCACGTTGCCGCCAGCGGGGCGCAGACCTGGCCGCTGCGTCACCATCCTCCGGATCCTTCCCCCGGCAGCTGCCTGATCGCGCTGCCAGGCCCAGAGGCTCGGTTTAGCCTACAATAAATCAGAAGCGCTTCAGCTTCCAAACCCTGCTGGCCGGGACGTGGGATGAGTTGCCTGTGGGATGCAATGCTGCAGAAGGGCCCCTCTGCACCCCGGCGCTGCCCGTCCCCCCCCGGGGGAGCACCCCAGGGCCGACACGTGGTGAGCAGCAGCGGGGTGAGGGACGGGGCTGAGCCGCTCTGCAGAGGCGGTGGGGATCGGAATTAATCCTGCCATTAATGTGTGAAATGGAGCGTTTGTGTATCACAAAGCAATTACACAATAATAGCAGGAGAGCGATGATAGAAATTGCATCTTGTCTGAAGTTTTGCTCCAATCCAACACATGAATAATTCCTCCTAGGCATTACTGGAAAAGCAGTATTAAATGAGCAATATAAACAAAAATTACTGGAAAAAAACAGATGAGGCATGCTTCATTTCTCAGTCAGAGTTGAACGCAACTAAATTTACACAAAGTGGGCAGAGAAGCTTGAAGGGGCAAAGACATTTGTTACTGCTCAGTGCAGGATGAGCTCACAAGAAAACGCTTCATCTTGGCAGCTTTCGGATGTCTTACTCCTAGAGCATGGGCTTGATTCTCGGTTTCCATGGCAGATACTTTTCTGAGCTTGTATCTTCCACAAATATTGTTAATTTATTCTGTCAGCCATGTCTCTGCAAATACCTGCAGAACGATTCCATGTGCAGTAAGAGCCGTGAAAAACAGGCGCATGTTAACGTGCCTCAGCTCTTGTTTGCGACTAGGGGAAGCCGTGCCTTGCAAAAGAAGGGCTCGTCTTCTACCGCCACGACATCACGGCTGATCTTTTGGCACTATTTTTTGTCCCAAGTACTTTGAAAGTGAATCATCTGCCCAGCGAAGCAAAGTTCATTTAACATTTCAGCCAAACAGTTTTTAAAGGCAGGCTTTTCCCCACACGGCGCTCCAGGCAGCACTTTGCACCTGAGCCGGGGGGCACCAGCACCTCTTTCTCCTGCTCCCCCCTCGTATTTCATGTTAACACGAGTCTATAAAACATGAGGCTCCTTCACAGGCAGAGACCCAGGAGCCAGCCACATCAAAAAGCTCCTGTTTTCAGGGTGGATTTACCAGCCCTGCAAATGTTGAGCAAACAGCGGCTGATGTGTAATTCTCACAAATTCAGCCAGACTACAGCAAAGTGAGAGGCTTTTAAGTCTTTCTGGCAGAGGGAGAATCACAGGGTTTTGCAAAGTAGTTGTTTATACACTAAAGCACATAACAGCTAGCACATACAGAAGAAACTCGGACAGACTTGTAAAAAGTAACCTGCGCAACGGCAGCAATGCAGAACCGCCGGAAAAAAACGGTGGGGAGAGCTCGTGCTGGGAACAACATCGCAGAGCAAAGTCCTGGCACCAGCGGGGAAAGTCTGTCTGTGCTGGGCTGTGGGGGCTGCGGGGGCTGCGGGGGGCTGCGGGGCGCAGGGCTGTGCCAGCGCGTGCCCAGCACTTGAGGGGTGACACCCCACGTCCCAGATGGGAAAGGGTCGAACACCGAAGCGCAGCCCAGTCCGTCTCCTGGAGGGAAAAGCTTGGCTGGAACCTCACAGGACCTGGGGCTGCGTCGTGCTGGGCCTGCAGCAGCTCACGACTCCTCCCGGTCCGAGCTCCGTGCCGGCACAGGCACCGGGCACACAGACCTCGGGTGCTCTTACCTCTCCCGTGGCTCCCGCTGGCCACAGGAGAGGGTGTTTTGGGGGGCTGCGCTCACACACAGCCCCTCGCTCTGTCTGAAGGAGCAGAAGTTTTGAAGGGAACGTGAAATGACAAGCAGCTGGGTGATGTTGCCTTGGATCTGCTCATTGCTGCGGTCAGAGACCACCTCCACACTCGGCGGTAAATAAGGGAAACCCTCTGGGGCCGCTGGTGAAACTGGAACGGGGACAGAGGCTGTTTCTGGACCTTTTCAGTAAGGATGAGTAACAGGGGTCATCAACACAACCGGTAAACAAGCCGCTGTATTTCCAAACAGAGCCTCTGTAGCATCCGGCTGCTTTTAAGCCATTAACCAAAATACCCTTATCTGCGGCTCCCTGGCCACAAGTGGCTTTTGAACCCACTGCCATTCTGGGCCGGATTTAGCTGTGCTCAGTACCACCAGATTTCTAAGCCCAGCAGGACACTCCAGTGGTCAGAGCTGGCCCCTTGCAGGCAGCCATGGCCAGTCCATGTCCTCAGCAAGAGGGAGTCACAGAATCAGGGAATATCTCGAGTTGGAAGGGACCCGTAAGGATCATGGAGTCAACTCCCTGCCCCTCGCAGGACTGCCTAAAACTAAACTGTATGACTAAGAGCGAGTCCTCCCAGCCCAAGGGCTCGGTGTTTGCCCAGGGTGGGGTGGAGAGCTCAGACTCTTCTGGAGCAGACAAACTGCGCCAATGAGCTGGAAATTAAAGAAAAAGGACACTCAAGGCAGGAGCAGAGCAAAAATTGCTCAGTGGTGCTGCCGCAGCGCAGTGTGTGCGGCGGGGCAGAGCGATCGTACCTGCTGCCCCCGCGAGAGCACTGCCACGGGCAGCTGGGGGGTAACAGCCCGGGAAGGCTCCTCTGAGGACGTTATGGATTAGCTGTCTTTGGGAAACCACTTGCCAGTTAGAAAACAGAGCTCTGTGAGTGCTGAGCGTCACCTGTGTCGTCTGGGAAGCAGCAGGAGACATCCCCTGCCCAGAGCTGAGCAGGTTTTGCCGTGCTGCTGCACTCCTGGCTGACCTCGACGCAGGCACGCGCACAGCTGCAGGCACAGGCTGGCACTGAATAGTGCCCGCCTGGGATTTAGTTGTTTGCCATATTCTATATTCTGAACACAGAGCTCTTCTGCGTGCAGCAAAGGGCCAGGAGCAGAGTTTGGGCTGTACTAGCTCGAAGTCCCACATCGATGTTGGAAGTTGCATGAACCCTGTTCTGCAGCGGGTCAAAGAAAAACCAGCCCCGCTGCAGAAACAGAAAACTTTTCGTCTCAGCTGCAGAGGAAATTTGGCAACTTAACTGTTAAACTCGCCTGTGACTATTCAGTGTTGACATCAGTGTGATCTCACTGCTGTAACTTGAGCCCGCCGTTTTTTCTTGGGACTGCCTTTAAATACGGGTCCTGGGAGCCAGCGCAGCACAGATCCCGCTGACTGGACCCGAGAGCAAACCCAGCAGCTCCCCACATAGATGAAAGCAAAGAGAAGCTGCAAAACCGCAACCATGTCCACATCCCTGCGCGTGAGCCCCTCGGTCCACGGCTACCGCTTCGACACAGCCCTGCGCAAGAAAGCCGTGGCCAACATCTTTGAAAGCGTCAACGAAGAGTCCCTGCAGAAACTCTTCAAAAACTCTGGGGACAAGAAGGCAGAGGAAAGAGCCAAGATAATCCTCGCCACCGACCAGGACGTGGAGGAGAAAACGAGGGCGCTAATGGCACTGAAGCAGAGGCGAAAAGACAAGCTGCTCCAGTTCCTGACGTTTCGGAAATACTCCATTAAAGTTCACTGAAGTGGCGAAGGGGGCAGGAATGGAGGAGAATGCTTCGGGACGGGACTGTCCGTGAGCTCCCACCACACCCGGCACCCGCCGCTGCCCGCGAGCTGCTGGCGGGACGGGGGACCTGAGAGATCGCCCATGGGGCTCCAGCCCCACCGCGCAACCGGCCAACCACGGCACCCACGGCAGCACCGGTGCGGGCGGCAGCGACGGCAGCGACGGCAGCCAGAGGGTCCCAGAGCGAGGCAGCTCCCGGTGGGAAGCAGCCGTGGGACGGAGCCGTGGGCGACCCCGCACGCCCGGACGAGATCTGCCGAGGGACTCGGTGTTTGCCGGCTTCACCCGTGGGCTTTGCCCATTCCAGCTTGTCTCCCCGAAGCCTGCGCCTCACTGCCGTGGGCCAGGAGAGCAGCTCTAGGGACTGACAGCTGCTGATCAGGGATCACCTCGCATCTGTAACAGCGGGGACCTGCACCGCAGGGGTGCTGCAGGCCCAACCCTCAGGGAATGCGTTTGCTCTAGAGACCCACCGTGCGACTGTCCCTTTTCTTTCTCAAGCTGTATGTGTGCAGTATAAACTGTTTGCACCAAAGCAATAATAATGACATTTACTGTGAAGTTCCTTAATATTTTGTTCACTTCCCATTAACACTAGAAATCTAAATATGGTAACTACAGTTCTTATTTGTATAGATTACAACAGCTGTTAGACGAGTACTTCATGGTAATATTTTATGACAACGTTATTATTATAGCGACTATAATTTATTGCATATGGCAGTCTGAAATTTAATAAATTATGAAGCAAATACAAATCCTTTTGTCTGAAATGCTCAATTCTCCTGGAGGAGTGGGGTTCTACTTTTTTGGCCATTTCATATCGATTCTAAGAGCAGAGTGCCTGCACCTCTCCCCAGGTGTTGACCTGGAGGCTGCAGCAGCCCCGGGTCCCCTCCAGCCCCCCCAGCAGCACCAGGGTTTCCCCCACCGCTGCCCTGGCGGCTGGGGCATCCCCAGACAGACCTCACCAAATTTACTCCTAACTGCTGTTTTCCCCCATGTAATGAAGGAGAATTACACACTTTGCAATAGTGCAACAGAGAAATTGGTTTAGGAAATGGCCACAACGAGCGGTGCGGTGCGTCGGGCTCTCAGCATTCCTGCAGAGCAGACTGAGAACGCAGACTTGGCTCCCCATCATCTAAAGAAACACAAGTGAGTTATGAACACTTTGGCAGCAGAATTAGACTCATTTTTTCTGCAGGTTATGCCATACTATCATGATAGACTATGTTGAAAATACTTAAAAATATCCCAGAGTAGTTATTTATAAGTATGTCCTCTAATAACCTGCTGGTTTAGAAAAAAACATTCCCATGATTCTGCTTAGAGCAACAAAGATAAAACAATTCAGAAGAACAATAGATCAGCTACAGGTTTTATGCTTACAGTAAAACCTCCAAATTGCCTATAAATCAGGGAGACTAGAAATAATCCTTTAAATTACTTAATAGGGTGGATAATTGTAATTATTTATAGTGTGGTGAAGCACATCTGAGCATTCCCTGAGAGCATCAGGTTGGGGAACAGCGCTCGGTGTGCAGAGCAGCGATGGCCGCCGCGCGCAGTTGCCCCCACCCTGGGTGTCCCCCCACCCCAGGAGCCCCCGCCCTGTGCTCCCATCGCTGCCGCACTCAGCATCGGCCTCAGAGGCCTCGCCAGGAAGACTGGATAGAGCTGGGGTCACACCTGGCTCGGGATGGAGGTTTTTGAAAAAGCCCCCGAAGGCTTTTCAGAACTGCCTGTGCTCAGAAAAATCTGTTCCCGCGCGGGATGTGCTCCAGAGGCAGTTGCCGGTTTCTGTCGTTCGACCCGTTCCAGGGCAGCGTCCCACGCTCAGCTGCAGCTGTTTCACCCACTCATGACACATCCCCACAAACCCATCCGTAGTGACACAAACTGCCTCAAACGGGCTTTTTTCCAAAAAAGGCCGAACAGGGCCGCCCGCAGCCCAAGAGGCGGCCGTCCCCCCCTCCACTGCCTCCACCCAGAGCCCCAGGCCGCTGGGGTGCGGGGAATTTCCTCCTGCTCCGGCAGCTTTTCCCATCAGAGCCATTTCTCATGTGAGAAATGCTCAAAATAACAGAAACCAGCGGGACGATGCAGCCACCCACTCCTCCTGCCTCTGGGGTGTGGAATAGGGCCCCGACGGCGCTGCTGCCAAGGATGCTCTCAACCCCCCGCGGGTACCGAATCAGCTTCGTGCTGTCCTGCTGCTTTCTGCTTCCCTGACCCGCTGCTGGGGCTTTGCTCGCCCCCCTCTACCCTGCCCCAGACCGTCGAGCGTTCCAAAACCTGTGCCAGCGCTGGGGGGGGTTGGCAGAGCCTCACCACTCTCCTGGCCCCCAGTACCAAACCACGCACCCCCCTCCCAACGGGCCGAGGGAGGGGCTGGTGCTTCATCCCCCCGTGCTGTCTGGGCAGGGGGGGCCGGCAGCAGGGCACACACGGGGACACGGGCAGAGCCTCTGTCAGGCACAGTGCACAGCGACCGACATGGTCCTGGGACTCGGGGACTTCACAGTCAGTCCCTCTTGTCACATTACGTTTAAATCTCTGGCCCAAGTGGCACCCCTGATAAATCTGGATTTTTGCAGTGGAGAAGGCAGTTTTCCTCGGTCGCAGCCTGTGTGTGCTTCACGAGCAGCAGCGCGTCTCACAGCGGGCACAGGAGAAACTGCAATTCATTATTAGGAAACGTTTGCCAACACGAGTTTGAGGTAGAAACGTCCAAGTGCTGCAGGTGCCTCACGCTTGTGGTGCTGCGCTCCCTGCCACGGCTCTCCGGGGCGGCCCAACAGGTCGGAGCACCCTCAGCCGAGCCCGGTGGTGCGGCGCTGGGGCAGCCCCTGTGCCCGCGGGGAGCGACCGGGCAGCAGAGGTGCGGGGGACAGGTCACCCGCCTGTGTCGGGCCCTTCCTGAGCGCCCGGTGCCGCAGACTCGCTGTCTGTCGGCGCGTGTGCCGCTTTCCAGCGGCCGCCCGGCAGCGCTCCTGCCAGACGCGGGGCCCATTGTCAGCCTCCCCACGTAACAAACAGAGGAAAAGGCTGTTCAAGGAATTTCCTCCCTCCAGGAGCCGGGCGTTTCCATTAATTCTTCTCCATGAGTCAAGCTGGCTGTACTGGGTGTCCCTCTGTCCCAGCATCCTGAGGAACATGCGTCTGAACAGCTAATTTTATCTGGCTTTGCTAATGCTCTGCCACAGACAGCGGAGGGGGCAACTGTGCACCCCCGGCTCAAGGGGCTGTGCCCAGCGGGCAGGGGAGAAGCACAGAAAGCCAGGACAGAAAACAAGCAGAAGCCTTTTTCGCACAAATTGTGGTTTAACAGACCAGAGAAGGTGGGGAGCAGCTCACAGGGTGTTGGAAAGAAACAGCCCAGAGCAAAGGGGGGGTCAGACAGAGCAGACAGTGCAGGGGTCCCACAGTCTGTCCCCCCCATCAAACACCCATCCCCATCTCTCCCCAAAAACCACTCTTGCGGCTGCCCTGACGATGGGGAGATGGGGTTGGAACAAGCCAGCGTCCCACTCAGCCTGTTCCCTGTGTTCAGAAGGAGATGGGGACGTTCCCCAGTGTCTGAACACCCAGTGCCGTGACCTTCCAATTTCTGGTGAAATCAAATACACAGAACATGAGCAGAGTCCAGTGTGGAACCGGGTCAGACCCCACAGGGCAGCGTTTGTGTGCGGGTCAGTGGCAACACCTCCCAGGCAAGTTTCCCTTCCACGCCATTGAGCAATGGGGCGAGTTAAAAATTGACCATTCGGCGGAACTGCACGTACGTTCCACCCAGGGGTACAGACTCTTCTCAGCAAAGAGGCGTCTCTAGCACCCTGGGTGCTCCCGGGGAACCCTCCTCATGGGCAAGTGCCTGAGCATGAGGTGTCTGCCGGCCCAGGGCCAGGCAAAAGTCACCGTCCCCCTCCCCGACCACCCACCCATCCCCTACAGCACAAAGGGAGGAGGGAGGCCGGCAGCAGCTCTGCCAGGCAGTCAGCAGGAACAAAAAAGACTTTTCTGCTTGCATGGATAAACTTCAGCAGGAATGACGCCGTCTTTGGCGCAGCACCACAGCCACCACCCGCCCACAAAGGGCTCGGGGGAAACCTCCCTCCCACGAGAGCCTGGAAAGGCCCAGGGATAGGTGGTGGCTGGGATGGAGGCTATTTATGAGAAGAAAAGCGTCCAAAACACTGGAGCCAACAGGAGATGGCACAGTTGCCATATATCTTTACTAAAAACTAAAAGTTAAGCTATGACCAGAATCTTAATACACAGCCCTGAAAAAAATCTTTCTTTCCCTTGAGCCATGCACTGAGTTGGTGTGGCGTGACGATGCTCTGCTGTGGTGAGCACTGAAGGTGTCCCTATCCCATGGCAGGGGCTTCAGGAGCCACCACTTACGGAGGGGTTGGAGGTGCTGAGACATTTCTACAGCATCAAACCTGAACGCCACTTCTTACAGGATCCCTCACGCCGGGATGTTCAGCTGCGGCTCTGCTCTGCCCCGGGGACTCACGAGGGCTCTGCGGGAGGGCACAGAGGGGCTCGGAGCGGGGGGGGGG